CCCCAAAACCCCAAAACCCCGCTTGCATATATATGTTAGCTAAGAGATAATTAAAATATTAAATCAAAATCTTCTAATATTTTCGTTAAAAATTAAGAAGATTCATTAATTCTAACTTCTGTATTTTATAATGATCTCTTATTTTTGGCTTGATCAGCATTTTGGTGCTGACTTACTAATAATCATTGAATTCTTAATGGAGATCAATGCATTATTATTCTAATAGCTTCCTCACTCATATCTGTTTTTTCAATAGAATAGTTTTGAAAACCAACCTTGTGATGATGTATTTTCTTTTATAGGTTAAGACTATTTAACTTCCTTATTTTTGACCTTTTTAACATTCTTTTTCACATTATTATTGCTAGAAATGCTTGAAATATTCTGATCTTCAACTTTCAATTGATTTTGGTTTTAATAGCTCGTTTCATATGCCAATTTCTATAAAATTAAATTAACACTCCCAAAATATACTTAATCTTGATTAGAAATGTTAAAAATTTATCCGCTTCCTTTCACATTTTATTATCTCTCAAAAGAAGTTTTTCTTTCAGATCCATAAAGCTCATCAGGAGTATTTAAATCTTGAGAATTTTATAAATTCTGATTATCAGTTATGGGGTCCTTTTCACTTATTATTTCTGGCTTGGATAAATTTAGACCTGAAATTATAATTGATTCTTAATTTTATTCATTAACTTTGACCTCTTCTTGCTAATAGATTATAGATTGACAATCCTCACCATATTAATCATCTATTTTCTTACTTGGTGTTATTTCATTTTAATTTTCTTTATCTTAAGGTGTTAAATCAATTGTATTTTAAGTTAACTAATCATCCTCATTCTACTTGCTCTGAAATTAATCATGCGATTCAGTAGCTATTTATTCTGAGGCAGGATATATCTGCTGCATTTAATTTAAAGTTTCTTGATTTTATAGAATTAATTAAGAATCATCGGTTATTGGGTTTTAGTAGGAAGCTTATTCATTTAAATTTGATTTTTCCTCGCCGCTATAGAATTGATTGGGCTATTCTGTATTTTTATGTTATTAAGAGAATGGTGAATCATTGTTAGATTTCGGAGTCTCCTAATCTCTGCTGCTATAATAATCTTAATCTTTGGCTAATTTATTATCATCATCTATTATTCTCAATTAATCTGTTTGATCTATTTGTGTATCTGGAAATGAATTAGGCTACTACTCCTACTTATTTATAATTATGTCTAAATTTAAGACTATTTTCATTTATGAGAGTTCATTTCTTCTGGAAGAATGATTATTGATTGAACTATCACATCCTAATTTTGTTTCTATTTATAGCTCCTACTCATTTTAGTTTTGATGCTCTTCTCTAGCACATTTACAAGATGATTAATATTTTTCATGTTAATCCCATAGCTTAGCCTTTAATACAATACAGTTCTAGCACTCTGGCTGATATCTTTCAGTCTGAAACTCACAATTTTTCTTTGACTTTCCATTCTAATTGATTTCAAAACTAGAAACTTATGATACCTGGAGATTCCTAATTGGATTGTTAAATTAGTTTTCTTTTTAAAGGGAATTAACCTATAAAGGATTATTTTATCTTTACTCTTCCATCATAAATACATTTTCAACTTATTTTAGCTCAGTTTATTAGATTATTTTTATCGGTTTTTTTCGTTCAAAATTATAACTTTATTCTATCAAGGTCTAACTAATTAAGCCTTTCTAATTCTATGTTAGTTCAGATGATACTATAAGTTTTGACTCATATTATGGGACTTTGTTTAAGTTATTTTTGCAGATAAATTCTTCATTTATTTAAGAATTCCTAATTTGGCCTTCTGTAGTTGATCCATTCATCTCTAAATCATGAATTTCCTCCTTTTAGAAAATTTATTATGAATTTAATTTGATTTTCTTATTTGTTTCAATGAGAAATTCTTTAAAATCAAAATTTTAACAATCCAGTGATGTTTTATAAACTTTTGTATTTTCAATACTTTGTTATATTTAGTTACTTTATAGTTGTGCTTTATCCTTAGTCTCTATCATTGATTATTTAATATTGTCATTTTAATTTAGAGTTGTGCGTAGATTTGAAACTTCAAATTTTGCTGCATTGTTATCGCAGATCAGACTTATTTCATTTTTATAAAGGTACTTTTCTTCAACTCGACTGTTTTTAATCTAGCTACTCTTCTAGATACCTTATAGTTTTATATTTGGCAATATTAAATCTTGTTTAAGATTGAGGTTAAAGTTTTAAATCTTTAGCTTAAGTTCCTATAAATACTAAGATTCCTTATCAAAGTTTAACTTTTTCTTATCTATTTTTGGTAAATTAATGTTCAAAATGTGATTCGATATTTTATTTTATTTACATTTTATTACTAATTTGCCTATTTCATGTTTAGAAAGTGTAGTATGTTTCTTCGATAAGGTTTAATTAGGTATTTTATTATCCCAAATAGTCTTTACTCTTTCGTTTATTAATTGAAATTTAAGATTTTCTTTAGATTTATTAATGATATTAATATTTTGAAATTTAAATGGATCTGACTTTATCTAAGAAATATTCAAATTTTGTTGCTTTTCGTTTTTAAATTTAATTGACTCACTATATGATTTTAGATCATTTTTATTGCCTAGCTTTAATAAAGATTGACTAATTCCTTAGGTATGATAGTACTCTTCTATTATATGGTTTTTATTTATTTTAAAGTCTAAAGTAATAGCATCTTTTGGCATCGCCAGTTCACTCTATTTCTATCCCTTAAGTTTATAGCCAGCCTGCTCTTTAAAGTATTATTTTTATTCTTTTAAGGATATATCGTTATCAATTGAATCAATTAAAGTCAAAAATTCTTTAATGAGATCATAACAGAGTTCATAGTCTTGAAATTGTAAATCTTGCAGAGGGATTAAGTAGTATTTGAGAATATAAAAAAGAAATTTGCTGGCGTAGGTTGTTAACGTTTTACTCTATAATGTGTTAAATAAATATTTGTCTTACTTTTTGTGATACTTTTTGTCTATAGCAAATAGATAACTATTCTGGCATTTAGGCATATCTCATGATAGCCTCTTCTAACTCTACTTTCATTGGGAAATGATCATCCCAGAGCCAAATTAAAGAATATATTACAGATATTAAGTCATCTACTGGCATCACTTCAAGGCATCGATGAGAATTGAGTGAAGCAGTGTAAGCTGTGCCTATCACACCACACTATGTCTTAAAGGGTATAACTCCGTTGGGACCGCGATATTCTTTGGCTGATCCAAAATCAATAAGATGAACTTTGCTGTTTTGAATCATAAAGTTTTCCAACTTTACATCTCTGTGAATAATGTTCATAGCATGCAGATTTTCAAGTTGCTCAATCATTTGAATAGCCAATTAGCTTTTAGTCATGCTTTTTTATCCCTCACTTATACTCTCAGAAAAGTAGTCTAGCACCATGTAATTATAGGATATATTCTGAACATTTTCTGCTTTAATAGAGCCATCTAGAAACAATTTAGGAGCTCTAACCTAATCTTTTAAATTATCAATTTTCTAATTTTCAGCATCAATACGTTTTAGCATTTATTTTTCCTGGATCATCGATTGACTACTGTTTTGAGATTCAAATTTGACAGCGTAAGCCATTCCATCTTTCATGTATTTGCAGACTACTCCAAAGGTCCCTTGTCCAAGGACACTGTCATATTTGTAGCCTCTAAAAGTTTTTGGGTAATAGCATTCTTGGAATATAGATTATGATTTCATCTTTATGTATTTTTGATCAATAATTTGCAAATTAATTAAACTCTCTAACTTTATTTTTATATATTAAATACATTTTTAGTGCTTTACTCCTAAAATATGTTGCTCTATGGGGTTTTGGGGTTTTGGGGTTTTGGGG